GGGACAGTGGGGTAGAGAAGTGCACAGTGGAGCTGCAAATTCAGGTTGCTGTGAGCTCAGGGGACGGTGCTGGGGCCAGCCTTGTTTGCCTTATTCCCCAGTGACCTGGCAGAAGGGATGGAGCGCTCCCTCAGCACGTTTGCTGATGGGACAGAACCGGGAGCAGGGGCTCCACAAGGCTGTGCTGCCCTTCCGTGAGAGCTGGACAGGCTCGAGAGGTGAGCAGAGAGGGACCTCATGAAGTTGCACCAGGGAAAGCCTCTAGAAGAGCTTGAGGCTTTGTAATTAGCAGGCAACAGAAGTGTTTCAGCACAGTGGAGTGTATAACGTCATCTTGTGATGTCCAGTCAGGGAAACCACCGCGTCTCCTGATGGTACAGGACCAGTTCCTCGTGTGTATGCAAAGGAAGCCTTTGCGACAAACAGTCAATTCAGGAAATTCCCCTACTATTATTTTGGATTTTCATGATTTTCTGGAATGCCAGGTGAAGCGTAAGGATTCCAAAAGGAAAGTGAAAACAAACCAATAAATCTTCTTTTTGAGATCAGAAATGTTTCCTGTTTGTTGCTTGAAGAAGTTGCAAACAACAAAACTTCTGAAATGCTTTCAAAGATCTAGCAGGAAAAAGCATTGCCTAAAGCGTTAGCCGGGGTTTCTGAGCAGGAACACAGTTCTAGAGTCAATTCAAGGTTTGCCCCAGGGTTTGGGGTTTTTTGCCTGTATGCTTTGAATGTGAGCTGCTTCTCTGCAGGACTTTTAATAATTAGATCGTGTACTGAAGACAACGTGTTACTGTGTCCTGTGCTGAAGAGGGTGGAGACAGAGCAGGTAGCTCTGTGTCTGTGTGTACCTCGCAGGAGCTGCACCGGAGCAGTGCCCAGGGCCTGGAGAGGCCAACGGGTTCCTGGCGCTGAGGACAAAGTGTCCATGGCTTGGGATTGTCCGGCCAAGCTCTTCTGGCTCCTTCTACTTGGAGCCCTTGCCGGGTTCCCTGCAGAGCCCTGGGTGCAGCTTCCCAACTCTACCCTCTGCCTCCTCCCTCCCTCCTGGGTGTCAGGATCTGCTGGAGCGAGTGGGGGATCGTGATGGTTCATTAACTGATCTCAGAGTGCAAAAAGAACACGGAGGGGATTTCAGTATTGATCAAAACAAATTCACCTTTTATTGAATGACCACAGCAAATGCAATATAGGGATTAGAAAAGAGATAAAAGATAAAGAGAGAGAGAGAGGGACAGAGAAAGGAGGTATAACTTCCAAATGTAGAGACAAAAGCCTGGTGGTGCAGTCAATGGGAAATTTACCTTTTCCAGTCAGGGAGGACCTCAATGTCCTGTCCGCCACAAGTGGTTGCCAGGGACCTGAGGCCATGGCTGCCCCAATTGTGGGTGCACGATGCTGATGTCAGAGTGGCCATTGTGACCCGTGCGACCACGGCCCCAAATGGGTAGGCCGCGCTCAGGCCATGTGTCAGTGCAACCTGACAACGGCAGGAGAAGGTAGGGCAGGGACGTGGCTGCCCAGGAACCACAGGGGCCACACACCTTGAGGCTCTGGGCCTGTGCTGCAGGCTCACCTGCCTCTCCCTTCCCAGAATCAGCGGAGGAACAACCAGATGAGAACTGCAGTGTTCCTTGATGTGATTGACAGGAGGAGAAGGCAGACAGGAGCAGGGCTCACGCAGGGCTGAGCAGGGAGTAGTGCCTTCGTGGCTCTGGGCCTGTTCTGCCAACTCCCCACACACTCTGCTTTCTCCAGCAGACAGAGAGGACCAACAGCTAGAGCAGACCTTGGCACCCCTGGACAGCGACTGACACCTGACACGTGCCATGTCTGACAGGAAGCAGGAAGGCCCTGGTGCCAGGAAGCCAGGTGAGGGCAAAGCAGGCCTAGCACAGCCTGGCCCAGGGACTCTTGTGGCAGGCAGTGTGGGGCCCAGAGCAGAGGCAGGGGGAGGCAGGAGCTGCTCAGCCATGCCGGGGCTGGGAGCCTCCCTCCTCCCCGTGTGGGGCCCAGCTGGGCCAGGGGGCAGCTCCTGGGACAGCCGTGCCCGCAATGGCCCCTGCTCTGCAAGGCCTCCAGCCCTGCCCCTCAGCCAGGCAGGCAGGCAGGGACAGAGCAGCCCTTGGGGCCGATGCTGCTGCAGGCTAAGAGCCCCGCAGAGGTGCTCATGCCCGCTGCCACTGGCTCTGTCCCCTGCAGCATGCATGCTGTGTCACCGCGTAGAGGCTGACCCGGACGCCTGTGGTGACAAAGTGGAGAAGGGCGGGCTCTGTGCCCACGTCTTTTGCCTGGTGCGTGCCTGCGGGTGCTCCCTCCACCATTGCAATGGGCAGTTCCTGCCACTGTCTCCTCATCAGCTCCTCCCCTTTGCTGCAGTTTTTCGCCACTCTGCTTTTTCGCCAAGAGGAGCATCCTGTTGGACTCATGGGCTTTCTCCCTCGAGATATCCAAATTGCAGTGTGGAGGGCAGCACAGAAGGTGAGAGCCTGACAAGAGCATGACTGACGGGAGGAGAAGGCGGACAGGAGGAGGGCTCATGCAGGGCTGAGCAGGGAATAGTGCCCTCGTGGCTCTGGGCCTGTTCTGCCAACTCTGCACACTCTGCTTTCTCCAGCAGAGAAAGAAGAACAACACCTGGAGCAGGCCTTGGCATTCCTGGCAGACAGCTGCCATGTCTGACAGGAAGCAGGAGGGCCCTGGTGCCAGGGAGGCAGGTGAGGTCAAAGCAGGCCTGGCACAGCCTGGCCCAGGGGCTCTTGTGGCAGGCAGTGTGGGGCCCAGAGCAGAGGCAGGGGGAGGCAGGAGCTGCTCAGCCATGCCGGGGCTGGGAGCCTCCCTCCTCCCCGTGTGGGGCCCAGCTGGGCCAGGGGGCAGCTCCTGGGACAGCCGTGCCCGCAATGGCCGCTGCTCTGCAAAGCCTCCAGCCCTGCCCCTCAGCCAGGCAGGGAGGCAGGCAGGGACAGAGCAGCCCTTGGGGCCGATGCTGCTGCAGGCTAAGAGCCCCGCAGAGGTGCTCATGCCCGCTGCCACTGGCTCTGTCCCCTGCAGCATGCATGCTGTGTCACCGTGTGGAGGCTGAGCCGGACACCTGTGGTGACAAAGTGGAGAAGGGCGGGCTCTTTGCCCACGTCTTTTGCATGGTGCGTGGCTGCGGGTGCTCCCTCCACCATTGCAATGGGCAGTTCCTGCCACTCTGTCCTCATCAGCTCCTCCCCTTTGCTGTAGTTTTTCGCCACTCTGCTTTTTCGCCGAGGGAAAAAACGTCTTGGACTTATGGGCTTTCTGCCTCGAGATATCCAAATTGCAGTGTGGCGGGCGGCACAGAAGGGGAGAGCCTGACAAGAGCAGGGAGATTTGTGCCAAGCGAGGTGTGCCAGAGCTTAGCCCAGGCTGCAGCAAAGCAAGGCCGGCCCAACAACCTCCTCTCCGCTTCTGGCCACCGCTGGCGAGGGATCCAGCACTTCTCACTTTGCCATCCATTTTCCTCTAGGTCCTATTGCCCCGAGCACCGTCCAGAGCAGGAGGTCCGGGCAACTCCAGAGCCGGGCACCGATTGCCCCATCTGCATGGAGCCTGTGGAGGATAGAAAGACCTTTGAAACCATGGTGTGTCCAACGTGTAAAAGAGCCTGGTTCCACAGGGACTGCACCCAGGTCGGATCCCTCCCCTCAGTCCTGGGGCACAGCAGGTGCTCAGCAGCACCAGGGCCTGGCTCACACTGCATGTGTTTGCCCTGCAGGGACAGGCCATGCGCGCTGGTGCTTTATTCTTCCAGTGCCCCCTCTGCAGAGACAGTGGGGAATTCGCTGTGGAAATGTTCTTCATGGGGATCAGAGTCCCCTTCAGGTTGGTTTCCTTCTGCCTGGCTCACAAGACAGGAGGCTGCAAATGCTGTGTTGTGCCAGGCCCTGCCCCAGCAGTCCTGGCCCTGCCCTGTCCCGTGACTCTGGGCTTCAGCTTCACGCACAACTTGGAAAAGCGCTGGAGGAAAAGCAGGGACACCCTGGACCTCCATGAGGGGAGGCCAGCAGAAACTCATCAGGTTTTCCTTTCTGCATCAGACAGCCAACATGGGAGGACAACGATGCCTTTGCTGATCTAAGAGAGAGGCACAGCATGTGCAATGCCAGGGAATGCCTTTACCCTGGAGGAAGGGAGGAGGCAGAGCATGAGGGGTAAGTTGGGGAGCTATACCCGGGGCTCTGCAGGGAAACCATATCTCAGCAAGGGCTCAAAGAGGCAAGAACTTGCAAGAGCTTGGCGAGACAACCACATGCTGGGACACTTTGTCCTCAGTGCCATAAGTCTCTTTGCCTCCCCAGGGCCTGGCAATTGCTCCTGTGCTCCTCCTGTGCTGCTGAGGGCACCCACAGGCGCTGCTCTGGCCTGAGAAACAAGACATACATATGGGAGTGTGACAGCTGTGCTGGTCTTGGAACGTGTATGAGTCAAAGCCCCCGGTGTCCCTGGGCTGGGGGCAGTGCCCAGGCGGGCCTTTGGAGCCGTGCTCGCACGGGTCACGATGGCCACTCTGACATCAGCATCGTGCACCCACAATTGCGGCAGCCGTGGCCTCAGGTCCCTGGCAACCACTTGTGGCAGCCCCCTTGGGAACCGAGGCTCCGAGATGGCTCCGAGCCTTTGGTCCGCGGGGAACCAGGGCAGGGACTGCTGCAGCAAGTGCAGGGTCAAATGCCAGGCCCTGGGGCAGCCATCGAGGGTGGGGCTGTAGGCAGGAAGCTGCTGTTCAGGCACTGCCACTGCAGGGCTCTGGCCCTGGCCATGGGAAATGTCTGCTCCTGCCCCTGGCAGTCGGTTGCCCAGAGAGCCGGTGCAGAGTCTCCTGCACTGCAGAGATTCAAACCCTCCTCTGGGGGATCCAACTTTTTCCTGCACCTGTTTGGAGAAGACTAAGATGAACATGATTTGATGCTGCTGCTGATCACCACTGGGAACAGGAGCTAAACCTGGAAACCACCACAGCTGCCTCCACACCTCACCTATCCCGTCATCCATCAATTAACAACTTTGACATTGCTTATAAATGGAAAAGTTAGCATTAAGCTTCTTTAGAAGCGTCATCGTTTATAATGGCTCAGTGGAAACACAGAAAACTCCATGAGAATTTTCAGTGTACATCTGACAGGAGAGCTTGCAACAGTCCTCGACTCAGAAGTCAAATGCAGGAGGATGCTTTTCCCCCAGTAAAGGAAGTCTCCCAGTTTGGTCCATGCTTTCCTCCTAGCAAAAATAGTTTTTAAAAATCAAGAAGAGAAGCAGAAACAATTCTTGTTGACTTTTCTAATTCATGTCTCTGCAAACTTGCTCCTGGAAATCCAGGTCCGTGACTTCTAGAATAATCAGCGGCATCCCGGGGAAACAGGGCAAGGGCTGGCAAGCAGGGACACCCTGCACCTGCCTGATGCTGGGGCAACAGAAGTTCATGCATTTTCCTGTCTCCATGGGAGAGCCACCTTGGGCGGAAGGCGATGCCTTCACTGATCTAGGAGGGAGGCAGAGCCGGTGCAATGCCAGGGAATGCCTTTAGCCAGTGAAAGAGACGCTCCAAAGTTTCCCTCATTTTGCCTCACGACCGTTGGCCAAACAGAGACTGGGACCACTGAAGACCCTGACTGGAGGTCTGGCCTGGCTGAGGTGGATGCTTGCCAAGGGATTGTTTGCAGCTGGGTCTGCACTGCAGCCATGGTTTCCTGCTTCCAGCAGGGCCTGCCAAGGAGCGACTCGCCCCCTATGCTTGCGCCTGCTTGGCAGCAATGGCCCATGAATTTCCCCACCTGTCGGCCAAATGAACTTTCAGAAGTAACTTTGGCGGTCCCGCACGGAAAACCTTTCATCTGTTTCACTATCACTTTTCCTCCTAGCAAAAATAGTTTTTAAAAATCAAGAAGAGAAGCAGAAACAATTCTTGTTGACTTTTCTAATTCATGTCTCTGCAAACTTGCTCCTGGAAATCCAGGTCCGTGACTTCTAGAATAATCAGCGGCATCCCGGGGAAACAGGGCAAGGGCTGGCAAGCAGGGACACCCTGCACCTGCCTGATGCTGGGGCAACAGAAGTTCATGCATTTTCCTGTCTCCATGGGAGAGCCACCTTGGGCGGAAGGCGATGCCTTCACTGATCTAGGAGGGAGGCAGAGCCGGTGCAATGCCAGGGAATGCCTTTAGCCAGTGAAAGAGACGCTCCAAAGTTTCCCTCATTTTGCCTCACGACCGTTGGCCAAACAGAGACTGGGACCACTGAAGACCCTGACTGGAGGTCTGGCCTGGCTGAGGTGGATGCTTGCCAAGGGATTGTTTGCAGCTGGGTCTGCACTGCAGCCATGGTTTACTGCTTCCAGCAGGGCCTGCCAAGGAGCGACTCGCCCCCTATGCTTGCGCCTGCTTGGCAGCAATGGCCCATGAATTTCCTCACCTGTCGGCCAAATGAACTTTCAGGGGTTACTTTGGTGGTCCCCCATGGAAAACCTTTCATCTGTTTCACTATCACTGTGACAAAGGGAGATTGAAGCCCCCTCCCAAGGACTGAGACTGACACCTCTATTATCCTGCACGTGGTGGGGGGGGGCTGGCCTGGTCAAAGCAAGATGCTTGCCCAGGTGTGGTCGTTGGCCCAAGAAAACAATGGCTCTCGCTCACTGCTGAGAACATGGACGGTCTGCACCCGTTCTCAGTACCCGTTCTCCCTCAATGATTTCAATAGACTTAGGCTTTATTGTATCTGTTTTCTCTCGGCAGTTTCAAGACCTGTTTCTCCCCCTTGGCAAAGGCCTGTAATAGATGCCTGAGTTAACCAGGACTTTGAGATCCTTCCTGACTGGACAAGGCGAATTTCCCATTGACTGCACCACCAGGCTTTTGTCTCTACATTTGGTACCTTTACACCCTCTCTCTCTCTCTCTCTCTCTCTGTCTCTCTCTCTTTATCTTTTATCTCTTTTCTAATCCCTATATTGCAACCTCCTCTCCGCTTCTGGCCACCGCTGGCGAGGGATCCAGCACTTCTCACTTTGCCATCCATTTTTCCCCCAGCTCTTACTGTCCCCAGCACCGTCCAGAGCAGGAGGTGCAGGCAACTCCAGAGCCGGGTACCGATTGCCCCATCTGTATGGAGCCTGTGGAGGATAGAAAGACCTTTGAAACCATGTTGTGCCCAACGTGCAAAAGAGCCTGGTTCCACAGGGACTGCATCCAGGTCGGATCCCTCCCCTTGGCCCCGGGGCGCAGCAGGTGCTCAGCAGCACCAGGGCCTGGCTCACACTGCATGTGTTTGCCCTGCAGGGACAGGCCATGCGCGCTGGTCTTGCGTGCCTCCACTGCCCCCTGTGCAGAGATGGTGTGGGTTTCGTTGCCGAAATGCTCATCTCGGGGATCAGAGTTGGTGTCCTTCTGCCTGGCTCACAAGACAGGAGCGTACAGGTGCTGTGTCAGGCCATGTCCCAGCAGTCCTGGCCCTGCCCTGTCCCATGACTCTGGGCTTTAGCTTCACGCATATCCTGGAAAAGCGCTGAAGGAAAAGCAGGGACACCCTGGAGCTCCATTCCCTATATTGCATTTGCTGTGGTCATTCTGTAAAAGGTGAATTTGTTTTGATCAATACTGAAATCCCTTCCGTGTTGTTTTTGCACTCTGAGATCAGTTAATGAACCATCACGACCCCGCTCGCTCCAGCAGATCCTGACACCCAGGAGGGAGGGAGGAGGCAGAGGAAGAGGCTTGAGTTGGGAAGCTGCACCCGGGTCTCTGCAGGGAACCCGGCAAGGGCTCCAAGCAGAAGGAGCCAGAAGAGCTTGGCCGGACAATCCCGAGCCATGGACACTTTGTTCTCAGCGCCAGGAACCCGTTGGCTTCTCCAGGCCCTGGGCACTGCTCCGGTGCAGCTCCTGCGAGTTACACACAGACACAGAGCTACCTGCTCTGTCTCAGCACTCTTCAGCACTGGACAGCAGAACACAGTAACATGTTGTCTTCAGTACATGATCTAATTATTAAAAGTCCTGCAGAGAAGCAGCCCACATTCAAAGCATACAGGCAAAAAACGTGCCCTGTCCCATGACTCTGGGCTTCAGCTTCACGCACAACTTGGAAAAGCGCTAGAGGAAAAGCAGGGACACCCTGGACCTCCATGAGAAGAGGGCAGCAGAAACTCATCAGGTTTTCCTTTCTCCATCAGACAGCCAACATGGGAGGACAACGATGCCTTTGCTGATCTCGGAGAGAGGCACAGCACGTGCAATGCCAGGGAATGCCTTTACCCTGGAGGCAGGGAGGAGGCAGAGCATGAGGGGTAAGTTGGGGAGCTATACCCGGGGCTCTGCAGGGAAACCATATCTCAGCAAGGGCTCAAAGAGGCAAGAACTTGCAAGAGCTTGGCGAGACAACCACATGCTGGGACACTTTGTCCTCAGTGCCATAAGTCTCTTTGCCTCCCCAGGGCCTGGCAATTGCTCCTGTGCTCCTCCTGTGCTGCTGAGGGCACCCACAGGCGCTGCTCTGGCCTGAGAAATAAGACATACAGATGGGAGTGTGACAGCTGTGCTGGTCTTGGAACGTGTATGAGTCAAAGCCCCTGGTGTCCCTGCGCTGGGGGCAGTGCCCAGGCGGGCCTTGGCAGAGCCCGTCTGCTCCTGAAGGTATGGAGGTACTGCTCTGGCCTGGCCTGCCTTGGGCCTGGGAGGCCTTTGACTTTCCTGCTTGCCCTTACAGCCTCCAGGTGCCGCGCTGCTGTCCGTGTTCTCTCTACTCCCCCGAGCAGCGGAGGAGACCTCACCGGCCAAGCTGTGGCGTCCGGGGAGCCCCTCAGCAGAAGGCAGCGGTGGGCAGCAGGGGGCAGCAGGAAGGCGAAGTAAGAAAAGTGGGACTCTTCTTGGGGGCAAAGTCCAGAAGTTTCTTGTCTCTAGGAGAGTCAGCCGAGAAAAGACCCAGATCAGGGGAATACATTGGTATGTAAAGGGGGTGGAACAATAGGGCAGGAACAATACAGAAACCAACCAAGGAGAACTCAGGCGGGAACAAAATCATGACTGGCATGCCAGCTGGCAAATAGGGAGGATAGGAAGGAGGGACTCTTGTTCCTGATCCAATCACCCACTGACAAGGGGAGAACTGTCTGGAAGAACGGGAGGGGCCAGAGGGTGACAGATAGGAACTCAGGGAAGGGTTAACAGAGAGTATCCAGGAGAACAGGGGAGGAGACAATAAATTGACAGCTCTCAGCTGGTAAGGAGGGGTTGCTAGGGAGAGAGTGGAATCCCAGGACCAAACCATTTACAGAGACGGGAGTAACAGAACAAACCAATTGAACAATGCACCACAACATCGCACCACAACATCCAGGGATGAGCAAGAGCTCAGCAGCCCCAGCCTGGTCAGTCAGGACAGGAATCTGCTCATGGCTCCTCAGAATCCCAGGACATCAGGCCCAGCTCCGGCACGCCGGTGCCATCGGGGCTGGCTCCCCCATCTCCATCTCCAGAGACCAGCAGCCGAAACAGCCAGCAACAGCCAGCATCACAGCAGTCACTGCCATCTTCCTTGCTGGACACCAGCAGCCCCAGCAGATCAAGGCCAACATACAGCAGCTCCCCAGACCCTGAGGACAGGCTCCATTCCAGATGTGCTGGGCCTGACCGCAGGCGAAACAGCTCTGGCCCGCAAGGTCAGGACCCAAATCAACCTGTCGGAACGAGGAGTCGCTGTAACAGGAGCAGGAGGACAACATCAAGGGCTGAGAGGCCCCGGCACAGGGAGACACCTCCACAGACATCCCCCAGACACAGCTGCTCCCGGCAGCAGAGTTGGGCCCAGAGTCCACCTGCCCGGTCCAGTTGTGACAGCAGCAGCAGGACAGGAGCGAGGCCTGAGAGACCCAGGAAAAGGGAGACACCTCCACAGACATCCCCCAGACACAGCCGCTCCCACCAGCAGACATGGACCCAGAGTCCATGTGTCCGGTCCAGGCATGACAGCAGCAGCAGCAGGACATGGCCGAGGGCTGAGCAGCCCAGGCAAAGGGAGACGCCTCCACAGACATCCCCCAGACACAGCCGCTTCTGTCAGCAGGGATGGGCTCAGAGTCCACGTGTCCGGTCCAGGCGTGACAGCAGCAGCAGGACAGGAGCGAGGCCTGAGAGACCCAGGCAAAGGGAGACACCTCCAAGGACATCACCCAGACACCGCCGCTCCCGCCAGCAGGGTCGGGCCCAGAGTCCATGTGTCCGGTCCAGGAGTCGGCGTGACAGCAGCAGCAGCAGGACAGGAGCGAGGGCTGAGAGGCCCCGTTTGAGGGAGACATGGTCAGGGACGTTCCCCAGACGCAGCCGCTCCCGCCTGCAACGCCGGGCCTCGGATCCACCTGTGCAGTCCAGGAGTGGCCAGGACAGCAGCAGGAGGACAGCAGCGCGTGCTGAGAGTCCAAGGCGCAGGGGGACACCGTCGGGGATGTCCCGCAGGAGCAGCAGCTCCCGCCAGCGACGTCGGGCCTCAAGTGGCACCTCCAACAGCAGCACATAGTGCCATCTTTTCTTTCTAGTCCATGGGTTCGCTGCCCAAAATGAAGGTGAGAGCGGTCAGCACAGGGCCCCTGAGATTTGCAGGTCTGTGAGAAAACCCTGTTAGCTCTTGACATTTCTACCGGCAGGAAAGAGGTCTGTGCTAAATATCTTGATTTCTGTGTAACCATCTATTCAGTGACAAGTCCCTTAAGGATGGGGCTAATGGAAAAGGACTCTTGTTCCTGTCTTTAGACTCCAATCTCAGATGTTTCCCCACTGCTTAGCCTTGAAAGTGAACCAC